CTTCCCAATATGCGTTTTTGCAATTTGCATATATGCAAAAACGCATAAAAACTGGTAATCATGTACGCTGAGATCCATGTGGCCGCATAATGCAGCACTTTCATCCTAGACGGCGCCCTCTCTCTGCATGCAGGAAAAAAACACAGCCAGTATAAGTCCAAATGTTAAACTACAGCGCAGGAATCGTTCCTGCTGCTAGGATTTGCAACTTTAGCACAAAAACGCATGGTCGCTCCGGCAAGCCTGGTGCGTTGGGGCCTGGTTTATGTTTTGCGCTTCAGTGGCGACCTCGCTGTGTGTAAAGTACTGGCTTGCAGGCCAAAGCAATTGCTTCGTTTTCGGAGGAGAAAAATGTGAAATATTCCTTAGCGATCTCAGAATTCATGAAGAAAGCGGTGGGCATCGATCCCGCTCACTGCGTCATCCAGTTTATGAACCTGGATGGCGAGAACGTAGGATGCTGTGGCAGTACCATGAAACAACTTGCTGCCGGCAAATGATCCAAATACGTCTCTTTTGTAGTTCATCTTCTTGCCCCTTCGAATACCGATTATTGCTTGTAGGAAATTCTTTTGCTTGCCCTTCGTTGAGAAGCTTTCAAATAAAACTGAATGAGAGGTCTTTTCAGCGTTACACTGGTTTTCAGTGCAGGAAAATCCATATTTACTTCCGACAGTTCTTTCCAAACTGCATGGATTTAGATAGCCGTCACTTACATGCACCATTCCATAAAGAGTAAAGAGTAGCCACGGAACATTTCGCTTCGTGCTGCGAACGTCCAGTCTTTCGTTTTATTTTCAAATTGGAATTCATTTCTTTCTTTCCAAATCCTCAGAAGGATCACATCCGTACCTGGACAAATTTCAAAGAAAGGAAGGAATCTCATCTTTGCTCCCTTTCTCGTCCACTGCGTCCATCTCCAAACAGAAAGTCGCCCTCAAAATACGGATCTGTAACATATGAATGCAGAGCTGAACTGACCAAATCACAAAGATATTTACTGTCATCCAAAAGTAGCACAGCAATGTGAGTTATGTTAAATTGTTAGGAAAACTCCATGTTGAAAAATCGATTAGTGCTGAGGAACCCACTTAAGTTTACAACTGTTGCCCACGCAGTTCTTCTATAGTACATCACCTTTGGGAAGTAGCAGACGCCAACAGTGGCGGACTGGTTAAATATTAGGAAAACCAAATGCTGGTCCTGTAGACAGGTTATTAATGATACACGAGGATCAAGACAGGTAAGTACAGCGATATACAAAAGCAGGATAGCGACAAAAAAACTGGATTGAAGGTGATTACGACAAATTACGGAATTGCAGAAATTTTTTCTTTTGAGCAGAAATATTGTCGATCATTACGCAAAATATGCCGTGACGGCTGTAAAAACTATCGAAAAGACGGGAATTCCGAAAGTACAGGCAAAAAACTGAAGCCTCATTCGCGGTACAGAAATTCGTATCCCTGCCAAAAAGAAAGGTTGTTGCTTCCCCAGCGCTGAACTATACACGACCAGTTAATCAGTTGAGACGAAAGACTAATTTCGATTGATTTCGTTCAGAATCTGTAGAATTCTTAAGAAAATATTGATAATGTCCAAATAGATCGATACGCATGCTTCGATGTAGTCTTCCGGTGAACTGTGATGCATTATGCGATCGATATCGAAAACCAAATAAATGGAAAACAATATCGCACCGGCTACTGCCATCACAAAGTCAAACAAAGCCGACTGCATAAAAATCTGCAAAAACTGAGGCTACTTTTGATCAAAACTCATTCAAAGCTGCTTGTAAAAACAAACGGAAGAAATGGTTCGTGTGGTGACAAAGCTATCCGCTCATAGGATCCAGCAGAGGAGAATACATTCCCCTCTGAACTATTAAATTATTATGACAAAATGAAATAAATTATTCCGGGTAGTCAAAAACAGTTTCCAACTGTTTCTTAAGCGATCCGTAGAAGAGGCTACCGTGCCAACAAGTGGCTGAAGTTAGCAAAGTGTCACAATTTCGGCCACTGGGAACTTCGCTAGGAACTTTGAAAGTAGATGTTGTTCTAAAAAATTCAAAATCCATGCAAGCTTTCTTCCTTTAACAACAGTAAGTGATGGCACTCACCTGTACAAAGCATGCAACGAGGAAAACTGTAGAAACACTGAATAAAGCTGCCCAGTAGC